GATAGGGATTGCATTGAATCTGTAGATTGCTTTAGGCAAGATGGCCATTTTGACAATATTAATTCTTCCTAGCCAGGAACATGGGATGAGTTTCCATTTCCTAGTGTCCTCTGTAATTTCTCTTAAGAGTGTCTTGTAGTTTTCAGGGTATAGGTCTTTCACTTCCTTGGTTAGGTTTATTCCTAGGTATTTTATTCTTTTTGATGGAATTGTGAATGGAATTGTTTTCCTGATTTCTTTCTGCTAGTTCATCATTAGTGTATTGGAAAGCAACAGATTTCTGTAAATTAATTTTGTGTCCTGCAAGTTTGCTGAATTCAGATACTAGTTCTAGTAGTTTTGGAGTGGATTCTTTGGTGTTTTTTTATGTACAATGTCACGTCATCTGCAAACACGGACAGTTTGACTTCTTTACCAATCTGGATGCCTTGTATTTCTTTGTTTTGTGTGATTGCCATGGCTAGGACCTTCAGTACTATGTTGAATAACAGTGGGGAGAGTGGGCATCCCTGTCTTGTTCCCAGTCTTAGATGAAAAGCTTTCATCTTCTCGCTGTTAAGGATGATGCTGGCTCTGGGTTTGTCATATATGGCCTTTATTATGTTGAGGTACTTGCCCTCTACACCTGTTTTGTTGAGTTTTTATCATGACTGGGTTTTGAATTTTGTAAATTCTTTTTCAGCATCTATGGAGATGAACCATGTTTTTGTACTTCTTTTTGTTGATGTGGTGGACGATGTTGATGGATTTTTGAAAGTTGTACCATCCTTGCCTGCCTGAGATGTCTCCCACTTGATCATGGTGTATGATCCTCTTGATGTATTTTTGAATTCGGTTTGCCAATATTTTGGTGAGTATTTTTGCATCTATGTTCATCAAGGATATTGGTCTGTAATTTTCTTTTTTTGTGGTGTCTTTGCCTCGTTTTGGCATTAGAGTGATGCTGGCTTCACAGAATGAGTTTGGAAGTTTTCCCTCCTCTTCAATTTTTTGGAAAACTTTAAGGAGAATGGGTATTATATCTTCTGCATATGTTTGATAAAATACGGCAGTGAATCCATCTGGCCTGGACATTTTGCTCTTGGGTAGTTTCTTGATTCCTGATTCAATTTCATTGCTGGTAATTGGTCTGTTTAGGTTATTATCTGTTTCTTCCTGGGTCAGCCTTGGAAGATTGTAATTTTCTAGTAAGTTGTCCATTTCTTCTTGGTTATCCAGTTTGCTAACATATAGATTTTCATTGTATTCTCTAATAATAATTCTTTGTATTTCTGTGGGGTCAGTCGTGATTTTTGTTTCCTCATTTCTGATTCTGTTTATATGTGTAGATTTTCTTTTTCTCTTAATAAGTCTGGCTACGGTTTTATCTAGTTCGTTTATTTTCTCAAAGAACCAGCTCTTGGTTTCATTGATTTTTTCTATTGTTTTATTTTTCTCAATTTTATTTACTTCCTCTCTGATCTTTATTATGTCCTTCCTTCTGCTGACTTTGGGCCTCATTTGTTCTTTTTCCAGTTTCAATAATTGTGACTTCAGACTGTTCTTTTGGGATTGTTCTTCCTTCTTTAAATACACCTGGACTGCTATATATTTTCCTCTTAGCACTGCCTTGGCTGTGTCGCAAAGAAGTTGGGGCTTCGTGCTGTTGTTTTCATTTGTCTCCATGTATTGCTTCATCTCTGTTTTAATTTGGTCATTGGTCCATTGACTATTTAGGAGCATGTTTTTAAGCCTCCATGTGTTTGTAAGCCTTTTTGTTTTCTTTGTACAATTTATTTCTAGTTTTATACCTTTGTGATCTGAGAAGTTGGTTGATAGACTTTCAATTGTTTTGAATTTACTGAGGCTCTTTTTGTGGCCTAGTATGTGGTCTATTCTGGAGAATGTTCCATGTGCACTTGAGAAGAATGTGTACCCTGCTGCTTTTGGGTGTAGAGTTCTGTAGATGTCTGTTAGGTCCATCTGTTCTTGTATGTTGTTCAGTGCCACTGTGTCCTTACTTATTTTCTGTCTGGTTGATCTGTCCATTTGGAATGAGTGGTTTTTTTGAAGTCTCCTAATATGAATGCATTGCATTCTATTTCCTCCTTTAATTCTGTTAGTATTTAACATATGTTGGTGCTTCTGTGTTGGGTGCATAGATATTTATAATGGTTATATCCTCTTATTGGACTGTCTACTTTATCATTATGTAATGTCCTTTTAATGTCATTACTTTCTTTGTTTTGAAGTCTATTTTGTCTGATACAAGGACTGGAACACCTGCTTTTTTCTCACTATTGTTTGAATGAAATATGTTTTTCCATTCCTTCACTTTTAGCCTGTGTATGTTTTTGGGTTTGAGGTGAGTCTCCTGTTAGCAGCGTATAGACGGGTCTTGCTTTTTTCTCCATTCTATTCCTGTGTGTCTTTTGGTTGGTGCATTTAGTCCATTTACATTTAGGGTGATTATCAAAAGATATGTACTTACTGCCAGTGTAGGCTTTGGATTTGTGGTTACCAAAGCTTTCAAGGGTAGCTTCTTTACTATCTAACCGTCTAACTTAACTCTGTTATTAAGCTATTATAAACACAGTCTGATGATTCTTTATTTCTCTCCTTTCTTATTCTTCCTCCATCATTCTTTATATGTTTGGTGTTTTATTCTGTTCTCTTTTGTGTTTCCTTTTACTGCTTTTGTGAATACTTGATTTTATTTTTTGCCTTTTGTTAGTATTTGGTTGGTCTGCTTTCTTTGCTGTGTTTTTTTTTCTCTGGTGACATCTATTTAGCCATAGGAGTGCTTCCTTCTAGAGCAGTCCCTTTAAAGTATCCTGTAAAGGTGGTTTGTGTGAGGCAAATTCCTTCAACTTTTCCTTGTATGGGAAGTGTTTAATCCTTCCTTCAAATGTAAATGATAATCGTGCTAGATACAGTATTCTTGGTTTAAGGCTCTTCTGTTTCATTGAGTTAAATATATCATGCCATTCTCTTGTGGCCTGTGAGGTTTCTGTTGAGAAGTCTGATGATAACCTGATGGGTTTTCCTATTAGGAGATCTTTTTTCTCTCTCTGGCAGCCTTTCATACTCTGTTCTTGTCCTTGATCTTTGCCATTTTAATTATTATGTGTCTTGGTGTTGTCCTCCTTGGGTCCCTTCTGTTGGGAGATCTGTGGGCTTCCAAGGTCTGAGAGACTATTTCATTTCCCAGCTTGGGGAAGTTTTCAGCAATTACTTCTTCAAAGGCACTTTCTATCCCTTTTTCTCTCTCTTCTTCTGGTACCCATATTGTGCAAATATTGTTCTGTTTGGATTGGTCACACAGTTCTCTTAATATTCTTTCATTATTAGAGATCCTTTTATCTCTCTCCCTCAGTTTCTCTGTATTCCTGTTCTCTGATTTCTATTCCATTAACTCTCTTGCAACTCATCCAGTCTGCTCTTAAGTCCTTTTATGGATTGTTTCATTTCCTTTCTCTCTCTCTGGACTTCATCCATTAGCTCTTGCATATATCTCTGCAGGTCCATCAGCATGGTTACGACTTTTATTTTGAATTATTTTTCAGGAAGACTGGTTATATCTATTTCTCCAGGCCCTCTCTGTGGGGTTGTCTGAGTGATTTTTGACTGGACCAGATTCTTCTGCCTTTTCATGGTGAAAGAAGTGGTCACAGGCAGGTGGCATGTGTGTCAGCTGGGAGAACAAAGTCCTTTCCTCCTTGCTGGTTGCCTTGCCTTTGTCTGCTGCCTGTGCTGATTACCTGCACACCAGGAGCAGTCTCTGGGATAATCCCGAGAGCTGCTGTGGGCGGGGCCGCACTCAGGCTATCCTAGAGCACTGAGGGGGTTCACCGGCGGGTTGGGTGTGTTCTCCTGTGAGAATGGCATCCCTTTGTGCCTCCGGACCTTGCTCTGGCTTCTGCTGTCTGTGTTGGTTACCCGCACACTGGGAGCAGTCACTGGGACAATCTTCTGAGCTGCCGTGGGTGAGGTGGCCCTCAGGCTAGCCTAGAGCCCTACAGGGGGTGGCAGAGGCGTAAGGGTGTGTTCTCCTGTGAGAACAGCACCCCTTCTTGCCTTCTGGACCTTGCTGTGGCTTCCACTACCTGTGCTGGGTAACTATGTGCCGGCGGCAGCCTCTGAGTCTGTGCCGGTTAGCTGTGCACTGGGAGGAGACTATGGGTGGTTGCTCTGGGCAGGGCTGTTCGCCAGCTGTAGGCCAGCTGGCTTGCTTGCAGCACCAGCCAGGGATAATGAATGGCAGGCTGCTTATCACTGTGAGGGGCTTTGGGGCAGAGTTACCCCCCAGGGGGTTGGTGCTCTTGAAGTTCCTTAGGATTCCCAGACTGTTGGGCTGAGTGTGCTGGGACAATTTTGTCTAGCTGTTAAGCCCTTGTCCCTTTAAGACTTTTAAAAAGCACCTGCTTCTTTTTTGCCTCAGGGTAGCTGGCTGTGGGTACCTGCTCGCAGTCTCCATCTCAGATTTTACTTTTCCGTTTCTCTAATATCCAATACACCATGCAATGTGTGGCTGTGCTCCCAGTGCAGATTACTAGGGCTGGTTATTTAGCAGTCCTGTGCTTCTACTCCCTCCCAACTCTGATTTTTTTCTTCCCGCCGGTGAGCTCCTGCCACATATTGGTTTTGTATCTTACTCTTTTCGTGAGATGCTGAGACCTTGCAGATGTAAATGTGGCCTGGTTGTTGTACTGTATCTTCTGGTCTCTCTTTTAAGAATAGTTGTATTTGTTCTATTTTCAAAAACATATATGGTTTTGGGAGGAGATTTCCACCGCCCTACTCACACCACCATCTTGAGCCCCTCTGCTAGGAACTTTCTAGGTGCATTTCTCTATGATAAACAGTATAGGTCACCCTACTTGCCTTTGAGAACATGACTGATAATGTTTAGGTATAAAATGAGTTTGGCACATAATTAACTGCTGTCTTTCTGTAAAGCTAACCTCATAGCCAAGTGAATACTGTAAAGACAGTACCAATATATCAAGGTCATGACCTACCCCACTGTCCAGTGCATAGGTATTGACGAGGTAGGCCAGTGAATTACAGAGCCACAGAGAAATGATGTCACCTAGGAGGCGAGGAATAAGACCCCTACATGAAGAAATAATGAAAGTAAGAACCAAGAAACATGATCAGTAAAAAGATAATCTTCCTCTCAAAAAAGTGGAGATTTCAAAAAAATTGTAGAGAACTATAAAGACATAAAATCGACAGCATCCAGCCCCCCTAACTAGCTCATTTTAGTTAATATGATTGTATTTCAGGCTAACCTCTAAGGAGTTTCATTCCCATTTTCAAAATAGAAGTTATACCCTCTTGAGCTGTGGACAATGGCTCACCTTATTATTAGTATCTATAAGCAGGGAGGACAATAATTTGCCTACTTCCAAGAAGAGACTTAGATACGGTTTTTTCTAAACTAGTTGATAATTAAATTTGGCAGGGCAAAAGATGAGAAAAATTACAAAATGAGAATGGCCCAAATAATATAGGCAAGAGACACCAAAAAATATGCTTCCAGGGTCTAGGTGAGGCAGCATGGAGTAGTGATCACCCCACATACAAACTGAATTTCAGGCCTCAAAGGCCACTTCCATCACTTTTCAGCTATGTGTTGGGCAACAAATGAACTTCCCAGAGCATCCATTTTTTCATTTTTTAAATGACAATAGTAATAGCTGTCCTGCCTATCTTCCAGAGTATTTCTGGTACTCAAATAAAATCAAATATGTAGAAACACTGAAAATTAAAAAGGACCAGTTTTTGTTATTAACAGAAGAATGAGGGTAGGAGTCCAAGTTCTTCCAAAGTAAATTCAAGGGGACTGATATCAGCCTTGCAAAAACATTCTCTCAGGATAAGGAAGATATATGTTAGATGACTTTGCCATTTTTAAGAAATTAATTTTCCTCATTTTACCAACAGTACATAGTTGGGAATTTCCTATAAGGGCAGAATCTTGGAATTAATTTATTAGTTGAGAAAACAAAACCCTGGTTTCAATTGTCTTAGATGTGCAGAAGCAAAAGACTGGAATTTTACAATGGAACTTAAGTCAGAGGGCTTAAATTGAGCTTAACATGAAGTAAACCCACAGTACATTTTCCTAGGGATTAAACAATCATCTCATCTTCATTAAAGCTTTCCACTTACACAAAAATTGCACACACAAATCAACAATCTACTCACGCAAAAAATCCTAGGATGCCCTCTTCCTGATAGATGGTTACTATGGAGTCAAAAAGCCCACTAGGTACAGAGGAAGGAAAGGTAAAATATTATTTTACAGCTATTAAAATAAATGTTCAATTATTACTTTTGACAAGGTCAAACTTATATCCCTTTTCTACCACCCTCACTTTGCAAAGACAGTTCAATTTGGAGATAAAAGTGGTAATATTACTACCTAAGTAAGGGTGGAGTCACACGGAGTTGGAGAATTTTGGCTTCATTCTGCAACTAACTTTGACATCTTGGGTAGGCTACTAAACCTGCCTGGGTCATCATTTTCTATTTTACTAGGTTTTACACAAATCAAATGATGGAAAATGTATCAATTTGTTCTGTAAAGTCTAAGCCATTATAAAACTGTAAAGTACATACTTTGGCTTTGACAGATCTTCATGAATGCTTGAAAATAAAAACACTTACCAGTACTTGGATTCCCTACCAATGAATTGCACCATAGATCTCAGAGTGATCACTGCAGAAAACATAGAAAAGATTTTTAACCACCAAAAAAGAAAATTACAGACCAATATCCTTGATGAACATAGATACAAAAATACTCAACAAAATATTAGCCAACCAAATTCAAAAATACATCAAGAGGATAATACACCATGATCAAGTGGGATTCATCTCAGGGGTGCAAGGATGGTACAACATTAAAAAATCCATTAACATCATCAACCACATAAACAAAAAGGACAAAAACTACATGGCTCATCTCCATAGAAGCTGAAAAAGCATTTGACAAAATTCAACAACAATTCATGATAAAAACTCAAAAAATGGGTATAGAGGGCATGTATCTCAACATAATAAAGGCCATATATGACAAACCCACAGCCAACATCATACTTAACAGCAAGAAGCTGAAAGCTTTTTACCTAAGATTGGGAACAAGACAGGGATGTCCACTCTCCCCAGTGTTATTCAACATAGTACTGGAAGTCCTAGCCATGGAAACACACGAAACAAAGAAATACAAAGCATCCAGATTGGTAAAGAAGAAGTCAAACTGTCCGTGTTTGCAGATGACATGATATTGTACATAAAAAACCCTGAAGACTCCACTCCAAAACTACCAGAATTAATATCTGAATTCAGCAAAGCTGCAGGACACAAAATTAATATACAGAAATCTGTTGCTTTCCTATACACTAATGATGAACTAGCAGAAAGAGAAATCAGGAAAACAATTCACAACTGCATCAAAAAGAAATAAAATACCTAGGAATAAACCTAATCAAGGAAGTGAAAGACCTATACCTTGAAAACTACAAGACACTCTTAAGAGAAATTAAAGAGGACAGTAGCAAATGGAATCTCATCCCATGCTCCTGGCTAGGAAGAATTAATATTGTCAAAATGGCCACTTGCCTAAAGCAATCTACAAATTCAATGCAATTCCTATCAAAATACCAACCGCATTCTTCAACAAACTGGAACAAATAGTTTTAAAATTCATATGGAACCACAAAAGACCCCGAATAGCCAAAGCAATCCTGAGAAGGAAGAATAAAGCAAGGGGAGAGTTCACTTCCCAACTTCAAGCTCTACTACAAAGCCACAGTAATCAAGACAATTTGGTACTGGCACAAGAACAGACCCACAGACCAGTGGAACAGAATAGAGAGTCCAGATATTAACCCAAAAATATACGGTCAATTAATATATGATAAAGGAGCCATGGACATACAACAGGGAAACGACAGCCTCTTCAACAGCTGGTGTTGGCAAAACTGGACACCTATATGTGAGAGAATGAAACTGAATTGTTGTCTAACCCCATATACAAAGGTAAATTTGAAATGGATCAAAGACCTGAATGTAAGTAATGAAACCATAAAACTCAGAAAAAAAAATAGGCAAAAATCTCTTCAACATAAACATGAGCAACTTCTTCATGAACCTATCTCCCCAGGCAAGGGAAACAAAAGCAAAAATGAACAAGTGGGACTGACTATATCAAGCTGAAAACCTTCTGTACAGCAAAGGACACCAACAACAGAACAAAAAGGCATCCTACAGTACGGGAGAGTATATTCATAAATGACTTATCCAATAAAGGGTTGACATCCAAAATATATAAGGAGCTCATGTGCGTGAACAAACAAAAAGCAAATAATCCAATTTTTAAACGGGCAGAGGATCTGAACAGACACTTCTCCAAAGAAGATATTCAGATGGCCAACAGACACATGAAAAGATGCTCCACATTGCTTGTCATCAGAGAAATGCAAATTAAAACCACAATGAGATTTCACCACACACCAGTAAGGGTGGCCACCATCCAAAAGACAAACAACAGCAAATCTTGGCGAGGTTGTGGAGAAAGGGGAACCCTCCTACACTGCTGGTGGGAATGTAAATTGGTTCAACCATTGTGAAAAACAGCATGGAAGTTCCTCAAAAAACTCAAAATAGAAATACCATTTGACCCAGGAATTCCAACCCTAGGAATTTACCCTAAGAATGCAGCAGCCAGTTTGAAAAAGACATATGCACCCCTATGTTTATTGCAGCACTATTTACAATAGTGAAGAAATGGAAGCAACATAAGTGTCCATCAGTAGATGAATGGATAAAGAAGACGTGGTACATATACACAATGGGATATTATTCAGCCATAAGAAGGAAACAAATACTGCTATTTGCAACAACATGGATGGAGCTAGAGGGTATTATGCTCAGTGAAATTAGCCAAGTAGAGAAAGACAAGTATCAAATGATTTCACTCATCTATGGAGTATAAGAACAAAGAATAAACTGAAGGAACAAAACAGCAGCAGACTCGCAGAACCTAAGAATGGACTAACAGTGTAACAGTGACAAAGGGAAAGGGACTGGGGAGGATGGGTGGGAAGGGAGGGATAAGGGGGGGAAAAAAAAGGGCCATTACTATTAGCAGACATAATGTGGGAGGGCTGTACAACACAGAGAAGACAAGTAGTGATTCTATAGCATCTTACTACGCTGATGGACAGTGACGGTAATGGGGTATGTGGGGCAAACTTGGTGATGGGGGGAGCCTAGTAACATAATGCTCCTCATGTAATTGTAGATTAATGACACCAAATAAACAAACAAATAAATAAATAAATGATTAAAAAAACTATGTTGAGATAAATTTTGATAGCTCTAAAACAATTTTTTTCCCCACCTTTTTCTATCTGGATAAAGTGGATAAAAGCCAAAACAAGAAGCAAACAAAAACATACAGGTAAAGCACTTCAGTGAACTCCCATGTCAATGTTTCCAAGCAGTCAGGAGAGTTCATGTTGTAAAAGAAAGTTAAAAAATCAGACTTCAGTTATCAACTCAAACATACCGTGGAAGGGATGTGTGATGAGGGCAGCAGCAGAACGAGCCATCATCTCTTGAGTTGTCTAGAAACAATCAATACACACTTTTGAAATCTAAATATGTAATACTCAAATTCCTATGAGAAGTAAAGTGGGTGGATACTGTAGAATAAAAAAGTAATTGACACAGCACTCCTGCACTGATTTTAGGGAATAGCTTGAATGGGATACAATATAACACTGTCACTCTATCTACCTTTGACTCAAGGATTTCAATGTTCTGCTAGAGACACTGCTCTAAAATTCTCTGCAGAGCAGATTTGTTATCTTGTCAGTTTTACTGATTAAAAAAAAGGAAAGAAATAGGAAGGGTCACAGGCAAACAGTTATTGAGTTGGAATAAAACTATGGAGTCTATATTTAGATTACCAAATCGCTCTCTCATTGTGGGTGATTTTGGAGACTCTGATACCTACACTAGACAAATGTCAGGCTCTATTTAATCTCAAGGAGAACAGAACAACTTTTATTTGATTTTCAACCACAATCCTGTAACTGTGCAGTATTTCAGAGCTGCTGTATTTATCCTAGTTTGTTTTTCTTTCGATGTCTATGTAAAGAGGTAGAAAATTAAACTATGATACTTAGAGGCAGGCTATAAAGATAGGTCTGTCATTTATTTTTGTATCTAAACATTATCTTCAGTCACTTAGTTAAGACAACATCCCTTGCCCCCACTCCAAAGGTAGTTCTGAGAAGACCCTGTGGGATGGGATGCGTTAACTAAAGTTAAGAAAATAAAAGATGCATATTAATATATGCATCTCTTCTTTTAAATAAACTCATTGCATGAAAATTTACAGGAAACAAAGCTGATTCATCTGGTATCTAGATATGTAGCAAGGTTTGTTTGGGAATGTATATTTTAGAAGGCAGCATTTACTGGAAAATTATGACCTCACTAAAGATAATTCGACAATGTAAAGTTTGAGAAATAAAAGAGTAGTTCTGAAAGCCAAAATTTTAAGTCAGGCATGAAACAAACTCCAAAGGCAGAAGATGGGAGTGGGAAATGAATGATGAGGTGGATCCCAAACACAGAATACTGCTGTGGAAGCACTGCTGGGCATACAATATCCAAAAAAACAGAGGGCCTGGCCACTATTTTAACACTTTTGTGCCAGAGGCTTTCTACTCTATTAGAAGACTTTCAAGAGAAACCTCTTCAATTTTAAAGATGAAACAAGTGGGCAAAATTAGTTTCCTTAAAATGCATCTATTTCAAACAACAAGCAATGCTCTTTCTCTTTTTTTATGTTATGTATGTAGCAGAGCCCAGATTAAATAGAGATTTAATTTCATTTGGAATAAGATACTGAACATATAGGCCTGATGATCCTGATTCCACAACTGCTGCTTATATACACTCTGATTTAGGAAAACAGCACAGCACATAATTCATCTCTTACCTCCTTGATAACGCGGTCAAAGGAAGATGAGGCTTCTTTCTGTACAATTCCAGGTCCTAACTCCTAGAAAATTAATGAAAGAAGACAAATATCTTCATGGTTTTAAACAGAACTGTTCAAACTGGTGGCCACCCTGTATGCCAACACTCACGGAGATGAAAGGGAAACTGACTGCTTGTCCCTTCTCCTAAAAAGGACCAAAGAGCAATAGTAACTTGCAAGGAAATGGGCCCATTTATATGATGTGCACAAACTTACATGATGCATACAAATTGACCCCAACATACCTCAACCTTGTCACACTCCTGGTAATGCTACAAAGGAAGAGAACAGAAAAAAATGGATGATTAGGGTTATCATAGTGTCAGTAAGACAGGACATAAAATGAAAACTCTATTGGTAGAACATAAAATAAGGTAGTTGATTTTTCTCTCCACTGCATATGTACAATTAACTCTATTTCTAATTAATCAACTGGAAATAAGTGTCTATAAGATGATCTTGTTGCAAAGTTTAACATATCAGTGAGCTGAACGAATAAAAAGCTCATGAAACCTTATCTAAAAGAAAAAGGAAATAAAACAAAATTCCAAAGACATCATGTACTAAACATACACATTTAACAGAAAATAAATTGGTAAAAACACAGCCCAGGACTAAGGCTATGGAAGAAGCCTCATGACTTTTTCATAGAAGAAATAGGACTAATACCAAACAATCTAATACAAGAATGGACAACACTGATGGACAGTGACTGCAATGGGGCATGGGTGGTGAGACTTGATAATAAGGGTGAATGCAGTAACCACATTGTTTTCTTTGTGAAACCTTCATAAGAGTGTATATCAATGATACCTTAAAAAAAAAAAAAAAGACCAGACAGAGGACCTGAACATTTTTCTAAAGAAGACATACAAACGGCCAAGAGGCATATGAAAAGATGTTCAATATCACTAATTATTAGGGAAATGCAAATCAAAACCACAATGAGATACCACCTCACACTGGCTATCATCAAAATGGTAAGAAATAACAAGTGGAGAAAAGGGAAGCCTTGTACACTGTTGGTTAGAATGTAAATTGGTGCACCCAATATGGAAAACAGTATGGAGTATAGAGATTCCTCAAAAAGCTAAACAGCACTACAATATGAACCAGCTATTCCACTTCTGCGTATTTGAAACTTGAAAAGATATACGCACCCTGATGTTCATGGCAATAAATAGCTAAGATATGGAAAAACCTAACAGTCCATTAATAGATGGATGAATAAATGTGTGATATACATACACACAATGGAATATTACTCAGCCAATAAAAAGGATGAAATCTTGACATGTGCGACAACATGGACAGCCTTGAGATTATTATGTTAAGTGAAATAAGTCAGAAGGATAAGGACAAAAATGGTATCATTTCACTTGTACGTGGAATCTAAAAAGCAGAAACAACCCCTAAACAAGAAAACAAAACAAAACAAACTCAGACACAAAGAACAGATTGTGGTTACCAGAAGGAAAGGGGTCTAAGGGTGGATGAAATGGACAAAAGGGGTCAAGTATATAGTGATAAATGATAACTAAATTTATGGAGGTTATCACTTTTGAATACAGATGTTGAAATACATTGAATGCCTGAAACTTATATATTGTTATATATCAATTTTACCACCCCCAAGGAAAAGAAGGACGAACACCAAATTAGGGCAATTCCAAATTAGGTAAAGACTCTTTTCTTCACTATACAAAAGAAGAGAGAATTGGTACTAAGTCCGAATAGCTAAAATCACTTCACTTTTCCTTTTATATCTCACTGTTTCTAAAATAAGCAAGAGAGATTTTTTTTCTCTTCTAAAGGACATAAATACCACCATGGCTCAGACTACATTGGAAGAGGAAATAGTATTTGTGGGATATCTCAGAGATAGGAGAGGGACTAGGTGAAATTAAAAAAAAAAATCAGACAATTGAGCACATACTAATAGCAGATTTAAAAAATGGCAATACTTTGTTTTGTAAAAATTAATAATGCTGGAGGCGGAGCCAGGATGGTGGCGAGAGTAGAGCAGTGGAAATCTCCTCCCAAAACCACATATATCTATGAAAATATAACAAAGACAACCCTTCCTAAAATAGAGACCAGACGACACAGGACAACATCCAGACCACATCCACACCGGCGAGAACTCAGCACCTTGCGAAGGGGGTAAGATAGAAGCCCTGGCCGGGCGGAACCCAAACGCCCCCCCCAACTCCCGGCAGGTGGAGAGGAGTCAGCAAGGAGAGTGAGGGAGCCCAGGACTGCTGAACACCCAGCCCCAGCATTCTGGACAAGAGCACAGACACAGTGCATGCGTGGTGTGCTAGATACTAGGGAAACAGGGCGGCAGGACCAGTGAGCGGGTGCCCGAGGATGATGCCGGAAAACAAAGAAACGGGAGCACTTTTTTTGGGGGGGGGGAGTGCTTTTTTGAAGCCTTAAAGGGACAGGGGCACCAATACTAGGGAAACAGGGCAGCAAGACTGGTGAGCGGGTGCCTGAGACCGGCGCCTGAGGACAAAGAAAATCGCGCATTTTTCCCTTTCTTTTATTTTTTTATTTTTTATTTTAATTATTTAATTTTTTTTTCTTTTGTTGTTGCTGTTCTTTTGGATTGGAGGGTGCTTTTTGGAAGTCTTAAAGGGGCAGGACAGGACACTTACCCCAG